ACGCCACCGGCGGCTCCCAGGCAAGGGGCAGCCCGGGACCGCACTGCTCCTGATGCACCGGCTGCGATCCCTGGTTTTACAGAGAGGCTGCATTTCCAAGGGGACTTCTCTGCATCAGCTGCCGCATGACCTGGGCTGCCCCGGTGCCAGCAGGGCTGTCCCGGCGGCCGTGGTGCTGTCTGCCTGCCAGGGCCGCCCTGCAGCACCATTGTCCAAGCCTGCGCGCTGGCCCAGCCCCGCTCCCGCCCGGAGGGTGAACTAACCTGGACATGCTCATTAGCCTGTGAATTCGTTTTCAGGCCGTTCCCACCATGCTGTGTTTTCCGCCTTATCCCTGAGTGCCAGAGATGTGCTTTGGGTTACCAAAGGGCAGGATCCTGCCTTGCCCTCTGCCTCCTCTCTCCCGTCCATCACACTCGACGCCTCCGTGCCTCCCCGGTCATGCTGTTAATGCAAAACAGGCTCTGACTCGGAGGGGCTGGGGGAGGGGACTGCTGCCTTTGAAAGGCGATCTGGCCACACGCCGGTGGACCCCCAGCCTCCGCCGGCCCGGGCTCCTCGGCGCAGCAGAGCCCACGGTTCGGTGGCCTGAAGGAGCGGTGGCACTTGCACGGGGTGCCCGGGGACCGACGCGATGCTGTGCCCATGGGAAGGGACCTGCCTGAGCCTGGGACGCTGCTTCCTTGAGCCCCGGCGTCAGACTGGGGTGCCTCGAAGTTTTCCCTCCCTCCAAAGACCTTTTCTACCCCCAGGCCACCTCCTCCGCAGTCTGCAGGTCCAGCTGAGAGGTGTTTGCGGAGCACGGGGCTGGCAGGACCTTCCCTCCCTGTGCCAGCACGGGCAGGTTTTCCTGCAGACCTTTCTGGGCAAGCTGATGGGCAGGAGCCCATGGTGGTCCCTAGGGCAGGCTCAGTGAGGAGGTGACTTGTACGAGCTCTTGGACCACAGTAGTGTTTTGCTGCCTAGAACTGATCCTGCACTGGCCCAGCATCGGTTCAGTTGCAGCGTGGTAGGACCCCACAGGTCCAGCAGTGCCCGCCGCGCCTCGGCACCGTGGGATGCCAGACCCCGGACCTGCACGTGGCTCCTCATGTGCCAGTGTGCGGGTGGCCAAGGACAGGCAACAGGGACATCCGTGGGAGGTGGGGGTCCTCAGCAGCTCCAGCCACCTTCTGCAGGTTATTCTGTTCGATAAGGAATGTTGGTGCGTGGGGAGGGGCAGACCTGAGCACAGGGGGGGTGGAGGGAGCGAGATAAGGGCAGATATGTCTGTGGCTGCAGCTCCGCGTTTCATGTTGGTTTGGGTTTTCGTGGCTGCTGACCTTGCTCTGTTTGAGAAGGGAATCAGGACGGACAGGAGGACGTTGTGTTACTGAGTCCCTTGGTGTTCAGACGGACGGCGACAGGACATCACTGCTGTATTGTGTTCCTTGGAAGATGCCTGTGACTAATCACTTGAAACACAAATCAGAGCTACTAGAACTGTCCTGCGAGGCTGCAAGAGAAAACCAGGGGGAAAACAGGATTGCAAAAGCAAGACCCTTCCCCCGCCACCTAAGGGACTCCCACCAGTCTTCACCTTCCACATTAAAACGCTTTGTAACCTCTTACTGATGGATCTGGAGCCCTGGCTTTTGGTCTTCTAGCAGCTGAGGAAAGTGAATTCTTCCCCAGCATGCTGTTTTCCTTCAAGTGCTAAGCAAAAGAAAAAGGAGAAACTCTCAAGCTGCTTGTAGATGTTTTCCCCATGAAGCTTCTCATCAGTACGAGAAGAAAAGTGGCCAGAAAGCGAAGTGCGGATCACGATGCGGTAAACGAGAGTTTCTGGAGAGCTGAGCTTTCATTTTTGGCAGTACGGAGCCGCTGGTGCGTCCTGGGAGGAGCGGTGCTTTGCTGATGGCCCCAGCCCCTTGCTGCCAGCCTGTGCTCCCTGCCTGCTCTGGCTCAGCTCGGGGATGTTTGACCAGGAGGGTTTAGTGCAGGCAGAGCCCCTGTGCCGGCTTTCGGCAGCTGATGGGCCCAGGACGAGCTGCTCCACGGCTGTTCAGGGGTGTGTGCGGAGGAGAGGGGAAGATGTTGCGCTTGTCTGGCTTGGTGGGCACCAAGAGGTGAGGGTGATAACGTGTGTTAGTTCTGCAGGGAGACAGCCCCTCCAACGCGCTCTCGGATGTTGTGGGTGTTCGTAATTAGTTGCTATTTTGCAAATTGCCACACTCCTCGCTGGGGGCTGCGTGGGTCCCAAGGGAGAGCTGTGGCTTTGCTCTTGCCCCCATGGCCAGAGTACAGTGCCTGCGGGCTGCGTGCCCGCTGAGCTCCTCGGTCTTTGTGGGGGACAGCCCTCGAGCCGTGGATCAGCTGAAGTTTGAATGTTTCCAGACCATTTCTGCTGGGCTGCCTGCGCAGGGTTTGTTGGGATTTTCCAGCCCCCACTCTGGACCCCTATGATACAGAACAGTTACACTGTGGAGACCTTCGGCCGTGCCCCACATTGGCTCTTGCCCTCAGCCCGCCCGAAGCTGGCCTGCCACCGGCCCAGAGGTGCAGTGGAAATTCCTTCCAGGATGCTGCTGAGCAGCTCTGGCCCCCGAGAGCAGCGTCCGCAGCAGCGCCGTGTGCCCTTCCGTGCTGCTCCTGCAGCAGCACTCGGGACCCGGAGCCGTGTGCACCAGCCCGTGGTGTTCGTTCCTGGGATGATGTTCACGCTGCATCCGCCCTGCACCGTCGCGGGGAGCCTCAGCGCCCACGGAGCTGCAACAGCCTGAACCCTTCCTCGGGCTGCGAAATTTGAAGAGATGGTTTGAAACCCAGTCGTCTGCACCAAGCCCAGGACCGAGAGAGCTACTCGTGCACCACCACGGAGGGTGGAGGGCAGCGCTTGAGGACGGAGCTGTGTCTGCGCTACCAGGGCCAGAGGAGAGACAAGATCACATAGCAGCGGGATGGAGAGAAAGGATCTTTGTGCTGCTCACACAAATGTCGCATCGGGGAGCAGCTGCAGCTCTCCCTGCCCTGGGTCGCTGCGAACAGGAACGCCGTGGCTGGCACCTGTTTTGCCGGAGCTCCCCTGGGCTGACCTTTCCCAGCCATGCCGCTCTTGCAGACCCTTGCTCCCCTGCCTGCTGTCCTGGCACAGCCCCCTCGTCCCCTTGGCCTTCCTGCCCCTGCCTCGAAGCGCTCTAACCAGGGCAAGGCATGGGGACCCTGGCCCGCTTCGCTGGCTGCCCGCTCATGGTGGTGGGGTTCCTGGGACCCCTGCGCAGTGGCAGAGCCGAGCAGGGATTTGGGATGCTCCTGGGAGAGGCCATATCCTGCCCAAGCAACTCGCGCTGCCTGGGATGTTTCAAGTTGCCCGTTTCTCCCCCATTTCAAAACCCCTGCCATGGCACGCTCCCTCTGGGCCGAGCAGTGCTAAGAGACCGAGGGGTGCGCAAGTGCTTTTGAACTCCCCGGCCACCGAGTGGGTCCTACCATGGGGATGAAGCGCTTGGTGCTGCTTCAGAGCCAAGCAGGGATTTGGGATGCTCCTGGGAGAGGCCATATCCTGCCCAAGCAACTCGCGCTGCCTGGGATGTTTCAGTTTCTCCGTTTCTCCCCCATTTCAAAACCCCTGCCATGGCACGCTCCCGAGCAGTGCAGTGGCAGAGCCAAGCAGTGGGATGCTCAACTCCCCGGCCACCGAGTGGGTCCTACCATGGGGATGAAGCGCTTGGTGCTGCTTAGGGTGCTCGCAGCCTCTGCCTCTGCCTCTGCCTCTGCCTCCCCTCCTCTCTGCAGCCACCGCCGCCGGCTCCCCCTCCCCTGGGCTTGCTGGGGCAGCTGGTCCTCAGTGCTGCCGCAGGAGCATCCCAGCAGCGCATGTTGCCTCATTAACACAGAGCCGCAGCAGCAGCAGCAGCATGGTTTCCTTTGGTCTCTATTTCTTTTCTCCTTTTTTTTTTCTTCTTCTCTCTCCTAACTCCTCCAGTTCTGCCCAAAGCAAAAATTGAAGTGGAGTCCTACTCGGCCCACCCCGGTGACCTCCTCCAGCTGCGCTGCCGGCTGAGGGATGACGTCCAGAGCATCAACTGGGTGCGCAACGGCGTCCAGCTGACCGAGAACAACCGGACGCGCATTACCGGGGAGGAGGTAGAGGTCAGGGACGCGGTGCCCGAGGACTCGGGGCTCTATGCCTGCATGACCAACAGCCCCTCGGGAAGCGAGACCACCTACTTCTCCGTGAACGTCTCAGGTTCGTAGCGGCCCCGGGCGCGCAGGGAAGGGGCAGCCCCGGGGCCGGGCTGCGGAGCAAGGAGCAGGCTGCCTCTGCACGCCTTTGCATGCTCGCTGGCACGTGCACCGGCCATGCGCGGATCTGTCAGGCTGCGCGGTGAGTTCGGGGCGGACCTGCGATTTGGGGGTGCCTGGGGGAGTTACCGGCACAGCGCAGTGACTTCCCGCCTGCTGCGGTGCAGGGAGAAGCGGCTGGAGGTTGTCGCCTGTTTGTCTGCACGGGGCTGGGTGGGCAGCAGGGCTGCCCGCAGGAGTGGGCACGCGCTGGGCGTGAGCCAAGGTCCACTTGGTGTTGACGGGGCGCGAGGCTGGAGAAGAACGAACGCTCGAGGTTGGGAGGTGTCTGCTGAGGCTTGGGGCGTTTCTGTGCCTGCAGGGTCTTGGCTGCTGCCCCAGAGGGGTTGGTGGCACCAGGCACGGGGCGAGGAGCCGTGCTTGGACACACGGCGTGGAGCTCTGAAATCACCTCTGGGGGCAAATTGCTCCATGATGTCCATGGGCTGTGAGCACCGGGACAGCAGGCACTGTCAGCCCTGGCTGTGCTGGTGGACATGCACAGCGTTCACCTGGGATCCCCACGCCTCCCCACCGTGCATCAGCGCTGCCCTGCCCCGGCCGCCCCACTGGGCACAGTCCCGTGCCACCAGCCCATGATGCTCCGGTCCCTGACTGGCCCCGCTCAGGAAGGGTCCATGCACGAATGTTCAGCTGGGACATCTCTTCTCTTGCAGATGCGCTCCCCTCCGCAGAGGATGATGATGACGAAGATGATTCCTCTTCGGAGGAGAAGGAGGCGGATAACACCAAGCCAAACCGTATGTGCAAGATGGGTTTGCCCGTGGTGCTGCCCTGGCCTTTGCGGGGGGGCAAGGGGAAGCTGGGCACACTTGCAAGCATTGCCCAGGGATGGAGAAAGGCAGGCAAGGATGGGCAGGGGCTCCCGCTCCAGCCCAGGGCACGCAGCGGTGGTGAGGGCTCGGCGGGGGGAGCAGGTCTGGGTGCACCCGGGCAAAGCAGCCTGGTCAGAGCTATGGGATGTGCTGGCACGGCTACGCTGGGGTAACTGCTGGTGCAGCCACACATGCTGAGCGTTCACCTCGCAAAGAAAGGGCCTCACAGGGCTGCTGTGACTCCGGGATAACACCCCATGTCCAGGAGCTCCCCTTCCTGTCAGAGCCAGGGTCAGCTGCCTGCACCTCTCCGGCTTCCCAGCTTGGCCCTGCCCTGGGCATCCTCGGGGTTAAACCAGGAGCAAAATGCTGGAGCTCCCTGTGGCTGAAGCCCCAGCGGGTTTGGCCGGTGGGTTTCACTGGGAGCCTGTGCCGGCCGTGCTGAGCACCCCCACTCTGCTCCCCAGAGGCCATTGCTCCCTACTGGACCTATCCCGAGAAGATGGAGAAGAAGCTCCACGCTGTCCCCGCCGCCAAAACGGTGAAATTCAAGTGTCCGTCGAGCGGAACGCCCAACCCCACGCTGCGCTGGCTGAAGAATGGCAAGGAGTTCAAACCCGACCACCGCATCGGGGGGTACAAGGTACCGGAGCTGGGGGGCCGGGGCGGTGCAGGGCAGCACCCTGCAGAGGCATTGGGGAGGCAGCCCCTGGCCCTGCCTGCGCAGATGCTGTGGGCAGTTGCTCTGGGCTCAATCCGGCTGGGTGCAGGCTCTGCACACCTCAAGGGGCTGGGGCTGGAGGGCTCGCTTTGGAGCAGCGCGGGGAGGGGGGAGGATCAGGAAGGGGCTCTGCAGCTTAAGAGGCACCGAGCCCCCTGTCCGCACAGCCCCCGGCGGGGGCAGATGGGCCCCTCTGACATTCCTGTTGCAAAATAGCCTTATGGACCTGCTTCTGGGTCATGTTTGCACCAGCTCAACCTCTGGGGGAGGGGGCAGATGAAACCAGCCTGCCTTTGCCAGCTTCGCCTAATCCCCCTGCCGAGGAGAGGGGGTCTTGGCATCCCCAGCAGGCACGGGAGCTCCCTGGGGCTGCAGGGATGGACGGGACCCTCCGTTGCCCAGCAGTGGTCGGCAGGAGCTGTGCCAGCAGCCCAGGGGTACCGGCTTGGCAGGGAGGGTGCCCTGGCCACAGTCGCTCCCTGAGCTGGGCAGGCGGCTGCAGAGCTGCTTCCCCAGCACCCACAGCAGGTCCAGGCTGCAGGTCCTGCCTGGGCAGGATGGGGGCTCAGCTTTCCCCTTTTCACGTCCCCAGTCTCGCAGTGGGGTTGCTGCTGCTGCAGAAGAGCCCCAGCAGTGGGACCAGCATGCCAGGACCCCCCCGAGCTTCTCCCCTCCCCAAAGGAGAGAGTGGACCGCACTTCTCCAGCATCCAGGGCTGCTATCGTGCTGGTGGCAGCTCCAGCCCAGGGACCCCCCCGGGTGACCCTATGAGGGAGCACCATCCCCTTTTTTCATCTCTCTCAGATAGTTTTCTGGAGCGGGGCTGCAGCCTGTCCTGGGCTCGTGCCCCTCGGCGGGCATCTTCTGGGGTGGGACCCCCGAGCCAGCCCGGCTGGGTGCTGCGGGGCCACAGCTTTGGTCGCTCGCTTGCCACTGAGTCATGAGCCGTGTCGCGTAACTGGGATCCAGCCGTGGCCCTTTGTGCCGCAGGCTCCAGCCAGGTGCCAGGGATGTGCAGCAGGAATGCGGCCACGTCACGGCTGGCAGCCCCCCGG